ACATGTATACCTGAATAAAACAAGAAACAGGAAATGATATAAAGAGATAGAAAGCATTATACAGCTGTTAAGATACTTTCATTTTCGTTATGTCAAGTTTCTTTTGTGAAAAGGCAGTATATATATTGAAAGCTAAATTAGCTTTATAAGATGATAAATAAACAGCAGTAAACATATCTGTCTAACTCTCAGAACGATCAATGACCATATTTAAGAATTATACCACAGGATTGATGCAGTATCAGATAGATACATTAAAAACCTGGATTTATAGGTCCTGGAGCTTGAAATTCCCAAAGTGTCAGAGAGAGGGAGAGGAAAAGAAAGTGTGCTTGTTACATGTAATCAGCAGGATGTTTCTGCATCCATAAGCAAAATCGTTCCTTTTTCATTTGTGTTTCAATTAACCCTAAAGTTTATATGATTTGCCTGCATGTTTAAGCCAGAAATTATTTTTCCAACATACATAAGGATAAAAAATAAAAAAATACCGTAGTCTGTATTATAAAAGTAGATCTCCTGTGGACCAAAATGAGATACATTTGTAATTTCAAACTTCTATCATTATTCTGCAAGAGATGTCCTGTTTTTTTCTGTGGAGTTGCAGACACCGTTGCTCCAGACTTCAATTTAATTACCTTAGAGAACAAAATCTACATATAGATTTTATCTTGACAAAATAAACACTTACTGTGTCCTTCTGGCCCTGAGTTTCAGAACAGAGTCACATTCGTATGCTTTAAACACGGGTCTAGAAATATATAAGAAAAAAAACATCCCCAATACTCCCAGTGGCTAGATAGAGAGTGTCTGGGGAAACAGCACAGAGGAGCCATCCAAAGGCAATCAGCTGCAGAATGAAAATGCACTGGAGTTAATCGCACACAGCAGTAGCAGAGGAGGAGGTATGCTGTGATTGCAGGTGATTAGTCTCTAGCTATGACTCTCCTTGCCAGGAACGAAGACCTTGATGATAAGACCAGAAGTGATCTCCAGTTGGAGACTCTGGGCTTGGGAATTAGAATGCCAACGAAAGACATTTTCATTTGGTCTTTAAGGACAGGGGAAAGCAGGGCACACAGAATGAATTCTGGGACAGGGGTTGTGATTGAGGCCAAGTTGTGCTATGTAATTCTAACCTGGGTTATTTCATCCATACAATCATAATCGAAAATATTGCTGCAAGCAGCATTTTATGGGGATTGAGCGGCATGTGGTTTTGTAGCAAATATTGGCTCTCTTTGAACATATGGCACAAAAATCTGCTGACTCACTTGTACTCAGGCATTGACTATGCAACATATACCATGTTTGCAGAGGAATCATAGTTTCAGCTTGACCAGTCAAACGTTTCGGGAGTGTTTTCAATGTTTCCAATATTGTGGCAGCTGATAAAATTTATTTCATGGAAACATAGCTAATGATGAAACTGGATGACCTTAGATTGAATGTAACGGATGGTACAATTCTTCAATTGTTGCTTGAACACTATAGCACCCCCTAGTGTCTGATTGATTCCAAAGTTGTATTGTGCTGAAACGTCAACATACTGTATATTATTCTCACTGGCAATTGGTAATCATGTGTAATGGGTGCTAAAATCATTGACTGATGGCAGCCATTTCCTAAAGCAATTATTTAGACAAAAATGGAATATTTAAAACTAACAACAACACATGGTGTAAATCTTCAGCTTGATTCGGAACAGTTTGAGAGTGAATGTATTTAAGCTTCTTCTTGCGGTGATGTCTTCTTAAGTGAAATCCTTATTATTTACAAAACTTTAAAAGATCTTGGTCCAATTTATGCTTGGAGCATATTTAATGCTGATTGCCCCAGTAGCATTGAATCAGACCCCCTCCGAAGGATTCAGAAAAATATCTTGACAGTGGGATATCCAATATGGTGGAAATGACTGGGACTGTGGGAAATTTATCTCCAGGACACAGACCCCATGAATCATGAGCCAAGAAAGTAATGATTTTGTTTGATTTATTATTATTTTTTTGCTATAACGCCACCAGGTACAGTAGCTGATCTGTATGATCAGTATGTCGTATTACTGGAGGTAATGGGGTAGTTCCAGTTATATATGTCCAATAGCCTAGCACTGCTACCTCACACCTTCAGAGTTAGGATTTATGCCCCCCCACCTGCATGTGTGTTCTCCCCATGTTGCATGGATTTCCTCCTGGAACTCCAATTTCCTCCCCCAGTCAAAAAACTTCCATGTGAATCAGTAGCTCTAAATAGCCCATAGTGCTCAATTATCTGTGTCAGGGTCTTTCTTCTCTATGACAGACTGGCACAGCATCCAGGGTGTACCCCTGCCCTGTGCCCTATGCTGCCTGGGATGGGCACCCAGACCCCATACTACCCTGCCCTGGATAAGCAACTGAAAGACAGAAGCTGAATAGACATTTTATGTAGGAACATCTATAGGTGGAATAGACAGTTGCCTTAGGCCCTCAGATTACCTGTGTTGTAGAGGAAGTGAAATGATCATCAATTTTCTTTGTGGGTGGGGGGGGGACGGGGACGGGACTTCCAAGGAAAGTGTTGCCTGGGGCCCCTGAAAAAGTATGGCCAGTCCTGCCTTTATGACAAACAGTTTTTTTGCTCCTACATTTCTATTGGCTGAACAACAATAACACCAATCAGAGCAAAGGCAATAGGTTTAGCAGATATGTTTCTTGGGCTACTAATTAAATCAGCATTTTAAGCGGAAAATGCTAAAGTACATGTTAAAAGCCCTAAATGTATAGTCCTACACCGAAACATGCGTAGACCCACATGCATAAACCTATATACCTGTACATACACTCAGTGGTCACTTTATTAGGTGTAAATCCAGACAACCTGCTCCTCCAAACAGCCAGTCATGTGGCTGCAACTGAATACATAAAGCAAATGGACATGGTCAGTGGCTGTTTGGCTAAGTGTCAGAACAGCTAAGATGTGTGATCTGAGTGATTTTAAAAGTGGCGTGATTGTTGGTGCCACATGTAGCGATTCCGGAATCTGAGAAACAGCCATCCTGTTATTCTTATATACTACAGTGTCTAGTGAGGGTGAAAACACATTGTTAATTAGGTAGGTCAGAGGGGAATAGCTAGATTTCTTAAAGCCACCAGTGCAACAGCACAGTATAATGTGCAGAAAGGAGATGTTGTCAAGCTTTGAAGTGGTTTTGTAAACTAACAGGTTCCTACATGGAGTTACTTAAGAGTACATAATGTAGCTGCCACTGAGTTTACATACATAATCCTACATACTGCTGTGCTACATTTCAAACTTATGTATTTAAACTTGTTACTGCTTTAAATCCAATTGTATGTTTTAAATACTCACGGTGAATGTTAATTCCTGTCAATAATTCTTTATTTGTATATCTACCTTTTATATGTCTTAACAAGTGGCATACCCTGTTTAATCTATATAAGAGAGCATCCACCACATTAAATTCCTTGCATCTGCAAGCCAACATAAAGTCATATCTGTTATCTTGGGTCCTTATAAATATAGAAAAATGTCATGTAGAAGACTAGGGTGGTGAAGGAACAACAAAGTTCAAATTTACTGAATGGTAATATTTTATATACAGTATTTATAATGCATTAGGTAAATAAACCAAATTGTATTATTAATAACTATGTTGCAGAATGTATAAAAAGGTTTATAAAGTTAGAATAACATGCCAAATTTAACAACATGCTTCATGAAGAGTATATAGTTAAATCTTGACATTTTATGATTTTCATTCCGCATCTTAAGTAAAGAAATAAAATTCATCAGTGTGGCCTAACCCATAAATTAGAAACAAACCCGTTTAATTCTCAAACCCGTGAATTAAAATGCTTTCTAATACATTTAACAGGTTTGCACATTCATGCATACCAGGACACCTTTCAATATTAGACTTAATGTATTTTTCAGCTAGATGCTTTGAGAAATAATTTTGGTAAAATACTATTTCGGTACATGCTGGGAATCTTTAAAAAGCTAACCTGCCGGCTGCCCCTCTCGTGTTTTTGAGTGTTTCGCGAGGGAACGTTTTGACTGAGCCATTGGTTTAAAATACAGCCGAAGCCCAGTATTTTTTTTCCACCAAAACCTCCGTCGTAACAGCGGAGTCAGCAGTAGGAAAGGGGCTTAAGATTTCGAGGTTAGTAGACCCGCTGTATTACCCGGGGATGCTGTTTGTGCTGATGAGCGGACCGTACTACAGTTGCTCGCCCTTAACTTGCCTGAGGGATCGGGATCGCTACACCCTGTTGTTAATATTAGGGGAAAAAAAATCTTCCCACCTTGAACAGAGCAGGGAATTGCGATGCCCTTTTGACATAATGTGTCTTGTCACTTCATTCCAGTAACTTCACGATCTCTCGCGTTTGTTATGGTCACATGCAACCAAAGGAACCCAGAATCTGTAAGAGTTTAATTTAATACGCCATTACGTTTTCGGCTCGGGTAGGGATAAATGTAACCTCAATGGAAATAATATAATTTGATAAATGATGTTTTACACTCCTTCAAAATAGGGAAGGCATTCCAATTGTTGTGACATTTTCTGGAGATTAGGGGGCTTAAATTCTCTCTCTCTCTCTCTCTCTCTCTCTCTCTGTATGTGTTTATATTATTGTTTATAGGCTATGTGTAGTATGTTTCATGTTTATATTACTTTGTTCCCCACAATGCAATAAAACCTGTTTTTGACGTTGTGGAGACCGTTTTTCAGGTCCCCACAATGATCTGTGAATGCAATCAAAAAAGTAAAAATGTCAAAAGTCTCGTATTTTGTTTGGTTACTTGTGGTTAAGGTTAGGGTCTGGGTAGGGGTTAAGGTCGTCATCTTGCGATTAGAGTTAAAAATGAATGGTCTCAACAAAGATATACTTACAAACCTGTGTGTGTGTGCTTGTGTTGCAGAATATAACTCTGACATATTCAGCTATTTACAATTGAGAAAATGCAGACAAGATTTTTTTGTTGTTGTTTTGTGAGCTTCCTACACCAGCGATCAGAGCTCAAATAAAATGCCGGACGCCTGAATCGCTTTTATTGCGGCGAGTGACCGCAGTTAGTCTCCGGCTGTATGTACTGTAAGTCGCGGGCAGATGCGCTCGTCTCTTCCTCCGCTGTCCATCAAATCCGCGCCTTCTGTTCTTCCTTATTGGGTTACTCAGCCCCCTCCGCTATTGGCCGCAACTCGGCGTCTGCTACCCGGAGGACTATTTAAACTAGACAGCCGAGGAAGCAGCATCCGGATTTGCATTTGCTTCGCCCGACATGTTTTACCTGTTTGTTGATTTAATCATTAATTTCTTTCTTGCGGGGAACAGATATACATGGTAAGATGTCCAATGCATGCTTATTGCCACGAGGTTCGCAAGCTATTGTTATCTCCACGGACAGAGTCTATGTAATTCACTCTATATGCAATCGCGGTGGTTTAACCTGGGGTCTGGTCTATTTCAAACTCCGTGCTCACTCCAGTTTGTGAGCAGTCGTCTGGTTCGGTCAATCCATATACGGCATATGCATATTAGAAATAGACTAGTTACCAAAATAGCGGTATCCTGCCTTTTAAATCAGTTCACTATTTGCAGTTGTTTCCTGTATATAGTAGCCTATGTCGTGCATGGTTTTATGAGCATTTAAGGCGAATTCTTACGTCCAGGTACATTTGTGGCTTGTTCTCCATGTGGTTTTCATGAAAGGATGCGCTATGAAATTTCTGAGCACCTAGTTATTCTAACGTTCACATTTGCTTAGACATTTTGTATGATTTTCATAGACGATGTTTTTTAAGGCATACAAAAGACTTAATGTGCTACATGTAGATGTTGCCCATCTACTCAGATGTATCTGTTCTATTTTTCAAAATGAACTTAGTAGATGTTTTTAGTCCTGCGGATTGACGTATAAAATAATGAATGTGTGGCGGAATAATGCATGGGTGACAGCTATGGAAAGTTAAGTTAGCGAGCGATTACACTGTACAACAAGAAACAGTGAAATACTTATTGTCCGTGTCTCTGTCCGAAAATATCGGCATGAGCAATCAGATCGTACTTTATCTTCTTGCAAACTAGTGCACTTTGAAGCCAGCTGTCCTGAGCACACAACTGGCTTTTATGTGCACCCGTATACCAGTGAGGTTCGCAGTAAAATTGTCATAGTGGAAAAATGCCCCAAATCAAGGACCTCTTTATTTCTCCAATTCCAACACCACACGAAACAGGCGTGTGGCATTTGGTCTAATCTGATCATTTATTCTGTCTCAGTATAAATGGCTGTGTATTCACGCAGTGGCCGTTCCTTTCCACAACGAACTTGCGCGCACACCCAGGGAACTTCCCCAAAATTTGCAAATGTTATGCACACACTAAATGAATATGCTGTTCGCAAACCTAGTTCAGTAACAGTGTTTTAGGCGTGACCCAAGCATCTTGCATGCACCAATGCATGTGTTCTAGACAGTGCTTAAAGTAGGAAAAACAGGTGCCAACCCCTTCTCATTCAGTACCTTTAGATTATAAGAGTGCCGGGTGTTCTGACGAGTTGAGCTACCTATCGAAACGTGCTATCGAGCCTTTCAGCGCACGTGCAGTTCCACCGTCTTGGAATTAGGGTTAGGTTTTAGGGGTTAGGGTTAAGATAAGGGTTTTAGGGGTTTTTTGGTGGTTAGGGTTAGGGCTATCAATTAGCACTACGGTAGCCTAACTCGACAAAGTAGCTCAACTCGACAAAACACCGTTCCGTACTTTGAAGAGAACACAGAGGTACATCTTATATAGCCATTTCAAGCACTGGTTCTAGAACAATCCCGGTTGCTGCAGCTGAATACTCGCTTTCGATTACTTTCCGTTTTATAACCTTTAAGGGTGTTACAGTATATGCACCGTTACCGAGGGGCGGGCTGAGGTGCGGAAGAGCCGCCTTAAGGGGCGTTTTAATTACTTGGTTAATGTATCTGATCCCCCGCATAATGTTGCCTTTTGAAGTGGTGTCTAATTAATTGCTGTCTATTTATGAGCACTGATATTTAAACATATAGCTAAAAATCTTTAACTTTAAGTTCATTAACATATGCAGACAATGATTGCATCCTTCTGTGTGCAACTTTCATGGTGAATCAAAATAAGACGGGAATAAAGTGGAATCCGGCTAGTCCGATATTAATAGGCGGGGCCAGACTGACAGTTCCAGCGTACCTCGAGCTCCCGGTGTCCCAGGGCGGGGGGGTAGGGTTACCAAACCCGCACGTAACCGCGCACTTTCCACTTACCTCACTTATGCGCATCCACGTGTTAATTTGGATAGTTGTACAAGATTTGAATTTTGTTACATTCGCCAAATACTGATATACAACATTTAAGCCTCCGTTGTGTTTAAAACAACTATTGATGATACCTTAGATCTATATCTGCATAGGCCTACGTGCAAGCATAGACATTATTATATTAATATATAGCATTATTATATATTAGAGGGAACAAAACTAAGGACCAAACGGCAATGCATTATAAGTTGGATGGGACATAATGATTGAATGATGCCTGGTTGTCTTCAACTTATCGATCTCGCAGGGTAAATTTTATTTAAGACTAACTGTGATTTTGTCGGGCTATTATATACCAAGAAATATGGATGTTTTAGAATAACTTTCAGCTCAAACTCTAGTTTTCGGATGAAAAGCGATTGTAAGTACTTAAAATTATTATAAGTAGGCCTACCAGCAATAAAAAATGCTTCCACCAGTGAATTCATTCAGCCACCAGCAACGGAACGTGCAGTAGCTTTGTTATGCATCTGCATTACTAAATTGCTCGTCGACTCATTCCTTTTTTTGAAGCAAAAATACTTTCACAACAAGTTCTGTACGACGCCTTAGTTCAACCTCTCAAGATGTTCAAGAAACACTGAAAAAAAATCACCCATTTCCCAAAGCTCCATTCTGTTCTTCTGTTTCACTACCTGCTCGCCTTATTCCTTATCATCGCGTTTTTATCCTGGGTCTTTTTCTTGGTACATGCCTGTTTTTTTTCGCATTCGCGTGTTAATTGAGGCCTGTAAATAGCTATTAAAGGATGTTTACGGATGAAGAGAAGTTCAAAAGCACGAGTTTTGGGGAACAGATTATTAAATTGTAAATGGCAACTACTGTCTTTTTAAAAAGGTGTGCGCTAGCTTTAGCTCTTACGCATTAAGTGGTTTCTGGACGGATTTAAACAGCAGGCTACTGATGGGAGATACGGGGCTGCGAAGCTTACTGCTGCCAATCACCGCCCTTCGCTTAAAGCGCGAAGCAAAGCCGAAAGCGGAGGGACTGCGGTTAATGCGGGTGGTGATGGGAGCGCCAGCGATCCCGGCCGCCGCGGATCGCCTAAGCCTCACAGGGCCCCTAGACAAGCTCTATGCGCTCGTCTTCCAAAAATAGAAAAATCGCCGTACAATGGGAATAACAATTGATCCGTAATCTGGCGTCTATAGCCTTGATAAGTGATATTGTAGGGGCATTTCTAAATAAGCTGCACTCTAACTATAGGCGTTCAGGGCCCCAGAAAGGGGAGTGGAGTCGCAACGTGAAACAACTAAGCCCTTCGACTGTAGTCGTGTTTTTAATCATCAAATCACCCAGGATATGAAAAGAAAAAAAAAGGATTTAAAAAGTGGGGTGTGGTTTCAGTTGCCAATACAGTCAGTTGCAGTGGCCAAGATCTGTATTTAAAGCTGTGTTGTGCTGTTTTTTTTTATATTTTTATATGTGCTCTGTTTGGTGTCTCTGGTGAACTTCCCTGTGACTGGATGCCATTCTCTCTCTCGGTCCTCGGTCACAGAGCTGAGGATGTAGGGCCGGCAGGTAGCCAGGATGGAGTGCTCCTGGAAGACAGTGCTGTTGCTGGTGTGTGCTTCACTCGGGGTGCAGTACACGGCTATCCGCTCACTGAGGGGCTCCATCGCCGAGCCCTGCGGTGGGGCGGACCGCTGCCAATTCCGCCGGCCCAAAGGTAGGCCGCAGCCCTGCCCTGGGTGTGTGTGTGTGTGTGTGGGAGGGCGGCTGGCCCCTATGTACTCCATGGAGGGGCACTTTGCAAGCTCACGCCCACGTACCCTGATCTTAAGCTCACACATGCAGACCCTCCCATCTGCTTCTAATGAACCTGTCTCATTTTTTTGTGTTATTGTGTGTGTATAAGTAAGCCTCTCTGCATGTCTCAACTTGGTGTATGGGTGTGAGAGTGTGTGTCTGAGTGTGGGTTATTTATATATTATATTGTGTCCTCACAACGTGATAACAACCTGCTATTTTGATTCTATAAAAATCTGTGAATGCAACCGAAAAACTAAAAATATAATGTCTTGTATTTAGATTGGTTAATTATGGTTAATGTTAGGGCTGGGTAGGGGTTAAGGTTGTTGTAGTTGGGATTAGGATCACGGCCATAAAAAGTAATGGACGGTCTCCAAAGATATAAATATAAATGTGTGTGTGTGTATGTGTGTGTGTGTTTGTGAGAGAGAGAGAGATGTTGTACATATTACATTGTGGGGACCAAATGTCACCACAATGCGATAAAAACCTGTTTTTGTGACCTTGTGGGGACATTTTTTCAGTCCCCAGAAGGATAAGCTTAATTTTATAATAATATGTGAATGCAAGCAAAAAAATAATGTCATATTTTGTTTGGTTAGGGCTGGATAGGGGTTAAGGTTATCATAGTCAGAAACAAATGGAGAATCCCTACAAAGATATAGATATCTAATACGTATGTGTGTGCCTGTGTGTGTGAGTAAGGCCAATCACACCATGAAGGCTCAAGGGAAAGCTGCCAAAACTTCAGATTAAAAGGCCGCCTCCATATTACTCTGAATTACTACAAATATTCTAAATAATTGTTTGCTGCATTGTTGTGCACGTGCATCCCACACCCACTTGTATTAATTTCACTAAATAAACAGCCACATGATCAGACAGAGAAACTGGACGACAACACTTTTGAAAATGAGTTCACACAAAAGCAAAAAAAAAATCTATCTATTTATTTCAATGGATACAGAGAGTGACTCTGTTTTTGGAAATAGACATGTTGTCCAAAGTGTGAATGGGGCAATTGATGGTCAGGTGAGGGGAGACACAGATACAGAGTGATCATGCTGTAAATTTGTAAAAATCCAGGAAGGTTTTTGTTCTTGTAAACAGCAGCTTGTTTTCACACTGGACCATTTTCGTTTAATTAGGTCTTCCCGTTTTTTATTAATTGAGAAATATATTTTCAATATGACCAGTAGAGGGCAGACACCTGCCAGCCCTTCTTCCTTTGGTGGCAAGGGAAATTAGTTTTGGCATTAGATGGTTTTTCCACAATAAATGGCCTGAATTCCATTATATGAGTAATTGTTAGCTGTAAAATACAAAAGCACATAATATGGTGGCCATTTTAATGTGTTATATTTTATATATTAGTAATGCAAAAGATTTTTAAATGGTGGCTGTCGTTAATCATGTAATTTAACTCCTGTAATAGCAATAATAATTTACGATAGTAATATTTCATCTCCGTACTTTTGCAGGCACGGCCACTTTTTGATTATTAAAGATGACTCCAGCCTTTTCATTTATCATGTATAACAAAGCCCCGGCCTCTAATTAATCTGACTATGACACTTAGCCTTCTGTGTCCTAAGAAGCAGCATCATGCTTTCTTTGTTACTTTAGAGGGCTGTTCATGTTTCCGCCTTCGTCATCTAGTAGCATGTTTTTACTGACAGAAGAATCTGGTGCAGTTCGACTAAACTTCTTTAAGGTTTGATCAGGGAAGACTGGCAAAGTGGTAAACATGAGTGTGAAATTTACAGTTATTCTCGTAGGAGGAGATGAAATATCACACTTTTATTTTATAACAGATCAGCACTTTGTCCATTTCCATAGACTAGCTGCACACAGCTTCTTCTGCTACCGCCCCTTGATGTAATCTATTGATTTCCATTTAAAGCACAGCAAGAGAACACCTCACAGTTACTTATTAAAGGAATTATGCAGTTGTATCGGATGATTAATCCATTTCGTTTGAAATTAAAAAATAGCTTTTCTTTTGTCACAAATTCGTTTAAACGGTACATCGTTGTGGAAAAACATGTAGTTGTAGATGTGCGAGTTATTGTTGATGCTTGTTTAATTACAAAATTTTGTTCATAAAACAAAGCTTGTTTTGTTTGTAGTTTACATAACTTACATACTTTATTACAAATAGAAAACAAAATATAAATACAAGAATCACTTATTTTTATATTTTCATTGACAATAGCTCATTATATTATGTGCTGTGATGCTGAAATTTATTCAAGCATAGAGCAGGCAGTCTTGTGTTCAGGGACTGTGTTAATATAACCCTGGTGCAATTCTCAGCTACCAAACATAATTGCTGAATTTAATTTCTTGTACATTTAATTTTCATAATTTTCCAGAAGGCTTGTAATGCAATTCCACATATATCCCGGAATTCATACCTCATAATGAACGCCAGAGATTATAAAAGTAGTGCGTCCAAAAAAATTAAAAAGAAATTAAAAAATGATATCCTTTGGCAGTGTGCATATTTATTGGTGTTTATTAAGGTTTTGATATACTATGGCTTTATTGACAATCTTTGATTAGAAACTTTTTTTTTCTTTTCACAAGGATGAAGCAGGCATGACACCTCACCTCTGTCTTCCTCCTCCTTTGCTTGCAGAGTACCGATGGAGGCCCCTTTGTGATGGGAGGCCTCCGTCTGAGGGCAGCTTCTCCTCTCTCTCCTCCTCCCGGAAGCATATCCTCCTCTTCGCCACCACCCGTAGCGGGTCCTCTTTCACGGGACAGCTATTCAACCAGCACCCGAGTATCTTCTACGTGTTCGAGCCCCTCTACCACGTCCAGCAGGTCTTCACCAATTCCAGCAGCAGGCTGCGCCGTGGCTTGGATCCTCGGGCCCTACTGGGCGCCTACCGCGACCTGCTCCTCAACATGTACACCTGCGACCTCCACTTCCTTGAGAACTACATCCGACCTGAACCTCAGGACCACCTGACGGGCTCCTTCTTCAGGCGGGCGTCCAGCAGTGCCCTGTGCTCGCCCCCCGTGTGCCTCGAGAACGGCGGGGCCCCAGGAGAGCCCGACGAGGCCTGGTGCCCCCGGCGATGCCGGACACTCAACCTCACGCTGGCCTCCCAGGCCTGCCTGGCTCGGGGTCACGTGGCTATCAAGACGGTACGCATCCCCGAGGTGCAGGACTTGCGCACGCTGTCTGAGGACCCCCGCCTGCACCTGAGGATCGTGCACCTCGTGCGTGACCCCCGGGGCATCCTGGCCTCCCGCATGGGTGCCTTCGCCGACCAGTTCCGGGCCTGGAAAATCTGGAACGCCACTGGGAGGCAGCCGCGCTACGTGGACCTAGCGCAGATCACGCGTACCTGCCAGGATCTGGCAGACTCCGCCCAGACGGGCCTCAGGCAGCCACCCTGGCTTAGGGGGAAGTACCTACTGGTGCGATACGAGGACTTGGCCCTTCACCCTGAGGAGAAGGCGGAGGAGATCTACCGATTCGTCGGCTTGGAGATGGACGAGAAGGTGCGAGCCTGGATTTTACAGAACACCAAGCGTAGCGCCTCGCCCACAGAGGGAAACTATAAGTACTCCACCACTAGGGACTCCAGAGCCACTGCGGAGAGCTGGAGACTGCGACTCGCCTATGACATCGTGGGTGTGGTGCAGACTCTTTGCAATCGCACTCTGTCTTTACTGGGCTATAAGCCAGTTCACTCCCTAGCGGACCTGCGGAACCTGTCCTACAGTCTGGTCGAGCCGAGAAGCTTCCTGCCACTATTATGACAGTTGGGAGGGGAACGCAGCATTACAGAGGATGACAGGGGACTTTGGCACGGCTGTGTTTCATTCAGCAAGGTAGCCTCAAATTAATTTTGTTTTACTTTTTGTAACTTGTATTTATATATAAATTGTACCACGATTTTAATAAAATACCTCATTTCATCAGTCAACACTGAAATATTTTCTGATTTTACTTACCTTAGTTTATTCAAAATTTTAAAAACCTTCTAATCATCAACCAGTTTACCTCGCTATGATATTTGATTCATTCTTTCTGAATTAACTACAGTCTTAAGATTTGTCATTTGTAGCTCTGACATCCCATCCAAGGTGTACCCCAGCCTTGCGACCTGTTTTGCCAGGGATCCAGGCGCACTGGGACCCTGAATAGGAGAAGCTGTTAACATGGTGATGACATGGTACTGTACAATGAAATCCTTACTTGAGTGCTTTTAGGAGACCATAGTGACAAAAATAAATACAAGACAAGAAGTACTGCAGTTCATTATAAACACCAAAAAGTAACACATAACTAAATCTCACACGCTGCACACAAAGAAACACTTAGAACTTAGAGATGCACAATGGAGGTTGAACCAAGGGAATAATGTGGCAGGCCAGTAATTGTTTAAGGATCTGGTGTACAGTTAGGCTGTATTGAGGAACCTAATTGACTGCAGGGTATAACTGGAAAAAAATAAAGAATAGATTATATTGTATGTCTTCATGAAATAAACCCAGGATGAAATACAGGAACGTCTTATGTATTCAGGTTGGATGCCAAACTGCATGTCCTTCAGGTTTGCACGGAGACAGCTGCCTTATTTCCTTCGCTGAGTCCAGTGCAGAGCTACGGCTTTCGAAAAGTGTATACAAATTACTGCATCAAGAAAAAAGCCGGCGCAATTTGAGAAGCTCGCTGAGGGGAAATTACATTTATTATATCAAATTTAGTCTGGTCGTTGCTGCCCGAGCCCTGAGATTGCGGCATTGGAAATGTCTTTGAAGTCATACGCTGTCCGCAGGGCTTGCTTCATTACCAAGAAAGTCTCATGTAGACATAGAACAATAAAACATATTTTAAATAGTCCCGTACCTGAGCAGTATTCTAAATTACCCGCAATATTATAAAAAACATGTTATTCAGAAACCGTCTTGCAGTACCTGTTCCGTCAGCCAGGCATTCCCAACATCGCCTGAAACTTTCTCTAAATACAAACTTGTTTCAAAACTGATGGGCTTTTAATTTAAGGAATTCGTTTTGGTGCAATGCTTTAAGAAGGCACAGAGGGAAGTGTCTCCATGATCGAGGACCGAAACTAGGCAGCGACGGCTGAAGCCTCTTCACTTTCATCCTCCAGCCATTCGTGGCTGACAGGCAAGGAGACCAAAGCCGGCATTTCTGAAAACAGGCGATAAACGGCAGGTGACCTGCTCCCACATCAGCAAGAACATAGAACATACAGATTCAGTGTAAACAAATAAGACGAAATGTTATAACAGTAGACAACTCTTCTAAATCCATATCAAGTTATTATTGCTATATTATTTCAGGCTAATTGCATCATGATCCTAGAATGATCACTATACACTAGTAAATATATTCTCCTATTCCGAATGATCTAAGTATTTTTTTTGTCCATCAGCAGTTCTCAAATTATTTATGTTTGTTACTTTTCCCCACTGAATTTCTCTTTCAGATTTCCTTTTATTTGTGCTCTGTGGAAATTCAAAAAAGCACTCTGTGTCAGATTGATATTTGTAAACAATTTCAAAATTTCTGCAGCACTGGAAAAACATCCATTAGCACAGAAATGAAATTATACTTCAAAAATCCTTATCCTCTTCAGTTGTGGTGGCCTTCATATGAAGGACTGGAATACATCACATTTTATACATTTGTTACCATTACCATGCTGGTTTAGCAAAAATTCTGTTTTTTTCCACTATTCCACAGTAATACACTGCATTTATTCCATCTAGTTTAGTGCGAAAAATTCATAAACTACTGCCTGTCATAAACGTAATGTGAAAGATCCATAAAGAGTTTTAATTTATCATTAATTATTATTATTGTTGTTGTTTTTATTTCAACACAAACTAAAACTTATGTCATTTAAATACTACATACATACATGCTGTTCATATGATTGTCCATGTGCTATCATACATATTTAATAAATAAATCAATACAGCAAATATCAGAGTTAAAGGGGGTCAACACTGACAACTCACAAGAACTTAGCCATCCATAACACGTCTGACATCTATATTTCATTTCAACTAATTTTCACGGAAAGCATAACTGTAAGAAATGCACTGCTACCACGACACATATCGATAAACTACAGAGAAGTGCCTAGTTAAACCGTCAAAACACTACAATGAACAGAACTGGCAGGATTTTGCTTTTACAGCTTTTCAGGCCGTGGATTTCAGGTAAACAGCCTTGTGTTATTTTATCCTGCATGGTACAGCTGGGCCTGTAGTGGTTAACGAGACAAGCTGATGTTCAGAATCCTGATTTACGAGTGTGTCCCTGCTTTCCTATGGAGATTTCTCTTAAATATAGCTATATTTTTTGTTTATGTTTATCCTCCTGAGACCCCACCCATTCATTTATGTCCATTGTAGTGGACATGTTGTTTTTGCATCTATCTTTTCACTGATGTAAGGAAACATATTTATTCCTGTTGTACAATAAAGAGGACATGCTGTGAAATTAAAAATAAAAATAAATTAGAAAAAATCTAAATTGTAAGATGTCTTATTTCCTCCAAAGACAAATAACCTATAATAGAAGGACACTTTTTTCCTTGGGTCTCAGGAGGTTAGACTCATTGGTTTTATGGACTCTCACTATTGGTGACCTCTGTCTAGAAACCTGGTAGATTTAATTACTAACTCATTGAACCTATAGGTCCTCATTAGTATCAACACTGTATACTACTGGTTTGGCTATAGCATTTTCAAGACTAGCAATTCTTCAAAGATTTTATAAAAGTACCATGAATTGAGCCAATTAGCAGATTAGACAACTGGCAAAGCCCAAATCTCTACTGTTAACACAGAAGAGAAACAAGTTCCTCATCTCGGGGTTTCGTGCTGGGAGATTAAGTTTCAACCACTTGTTGGCAACTGGTTGCCCTTTGATTGGCCAGCCTCTCACACCAGCTATGCTTCAGGCCTTGAAAGTAAGAGGGGGTTACTTTATACTTAACCAGAGTGTAATCCAGCCAGCTTTGGTGTGTGTGTGTGTGTGTGTCTGTGTGGTCATGTATATATTACATTGCACAATTATTACACAATGTGATAAATATCTGTTGTTTTAATATTGTGGGAAAAATTGTTTCGGTTGCCACAAGGGGAAGCTCAATTTTATAAAAATCTGTGACTTCAATCAAACTAAAAATGTGTGTGTGTGTGTGTGTGTGTGAGAGAGAGAGAGAGAGAGAGAGTGCTGTTTGAGGGGAGCTCTAGGCCCACCCCCTGTGACCCCAATCTTCACTCTCACTTGTATGTGTGCCTATATATCAAAGGAGAAGCATTCTAATCTACTTGTGCTCATATTTCACCAATGGCAAATAAAGCATCCTTTCAGAAAGAAGTACTCAGATTCACACTTTTGTTCCACTTTAGAGTACCCAATGCTAAGTCACTAGAGCAGGGGTCACCAGTCTTTTTCAAACTGAGAGCTACTTCACAGTTACTGAGCCATACTAAGGGCTACCAATCAACTAGAAAAGAACAGAGTTTACCTAAACTTCATGTATAATAAACGTTTTAAATGCTTTTTTTTAGATATTGTCATTTTCAAATCTATATAAATGCAAATGTGATTAAAGAAGAATAGCAACAGGATAAAATTAAATTTTAGACGCTGCTCACTGGTGAGTTGTGGTATTTTTAGAACAGGTCCTCGGGCAACTCATGTGGTCCTTGGGGGCATCCTGGTGCCCACGGGCACCATGTTGGTGACCCCTGCACTAGAGGCTCTGTTTGTATATATTCATTTGTATATTCTGTCTTTGCTTCCATGGTCAAATACTGTATATATATTTTTCAATTTCTCAAACTCAGATATATTTACGTTAATGGACCCATGGCCCTGCCCGTATGCTGCTATTCTTTTTAGTATTTCACACAGGAGAGGAGACTGGGATCCTAGACAAGGAGCCCTGTGATGTGACGCGCCTGTCCATCCCCCTGCTGAAGAAGCTCCTTATTGTTTTTCATGAAGGAGTCTGAGTATGTGGACTATGGAGAGGAACCAAATCACTTTTACCATTTAGCCGCCTTGCTGCACGATAAACTAATTATGGGCCTGACCGAATGGCAGCCGGTACCTTTGAATTCTCATGAATGACCCGAAATCCCACACAACACTAAAGCAGCTATGACCAATGTGTCTTCCTTAGATCTCCTTAGTGTCTGCACAGATCAGGAGCTATGAAAAGCCCACAGTGGGGAATTTTTAGTAGAATATCAGTCATGTAACTATTTTTATTTTTTACAGCAGCATTGATTTTTCTGTGAAATCCACCCCATCACACTCTGGTTTATAAGGTTTATAATTATATCTCTCATCCTAGAATAATCTTAAAAACTGTAGAATGTGTAGAAGGTTTGTTTTCCGTCAGGACTGTCTGAAGAAATGTGACTCGGGTGCACAAGAAATGTGCTAGAGATCACGTTGAAAATGATCCATCTCCCTGACTGATCGGTCTCTCCTTGGCTGTGCATTGATGTTCGCCACTCCCCGCAAAATCCCCTGTACCCGAATGGACTGCAAGAGACTTTTTCAGCAGACTGGGATATTAACAGAAAAAAAATGCTTTCAATAAAGAGGATTTAGGGAGGGGAAAATGCCTTTACGCTATTCCGCCAGGCTATACAAACCGGCAATAAAGAACAGTTTATGACACCTTTATAATAGTGTTTCATGGGCATTTCTATCTTGCTTGGACATATAAAACTGCGAGACGCCTGACTCAGCCGGGAGCTAATCGCCCATCTCTTCACCTGGAAGACGGGCCTTTTCTCCTTCTTAAAGTCAGTGACAAATATTGCCTTATTGAGGTCAGCTTGTGACAAAATTCCCCAGAAGAGCTTTCAGGCTGTAAATTATTGCAGGGACAGCTTAAGGTGAACACTGGAGACCACACAGTCTCGCCAAAGAGAAGTACATATTTCTGTAGCCATAAACATTTTTCGTGGATGTATTAGATGTAATCTGAAAGAAAACCGGCACTTTTGCAACATATAAAACAATTCCGTCTGAATGTGATGGATCCCAGGGCTCTTAAAACGCGTCACACACGGGTTGGAGTTATCAAAATGTATGTATATCCATCAGATGGGCGTTTTTAAGCCCAAAACAAACACCTCCTCTGTGGAAGTGTCAAAGGCTGATTGGGATTATGGGATTGGGAGTCATGCTGATTGGCTCCCATGTTCTGGATGACGCTAACACCAACAGGTGTGGTTCACCATGGGCTACTAACCTGCTGTCACCATTCACTGTTGTGCGGGTCCATATTATGATTTATGTCCGGAACCATTTGGTGGTTAGACTGACATTCACTAAGCAGTACATGATTCAAGAGATGGGGGTTTGCAGTTTTTGCCAGGAAATCTCAAACCTTGTCTAAAATTCTGCAATACAACCTCAGAAACAATGCTATAATCAAGATGAGGCTAATGTGTTGGGGAAAAAGTGAGAGTGAAGATTGGGGTCACAGGGGAGGGCCTAGAGCTCACCTCAAACAGCACAGGGCAGAGACACACTGTGGATGGAATACTAGTTCATCATGGTCTCTCTCTCTCTCTCTCTCTCTCTCTCTCTCACACACACACACACACACACACACACACACACACGTTTGTATTCATATATCTGTAGGGACTCTCCATTCATTTCTGTGGGTATAACCCTTATCCCAACTATGACATCCTTAACCCCTACCCAGCCTTAACCTTAACCATAAGTAACTAAACAAAATACAAGAATTTTGACATTTTAAGTTTTTAGATTGCAGTCACATATATTATAAAACGGAGTTTCTCCTTTTGGGAACCAAAAAATGGTCCCCATAACATCAAAATAACAGGTTTTTTAATCACACTCAGCATGGGATGAACAAATATAACTTTATAAATACCTAATGTAATAATGGTTATACTAATAATAGTTATAGTCTTGAACATTTAGTGGGTTGTATTTTTGACTCATACCTCCAGCACTGGGGGGTTTGATCTTACCTCCATTTGTGTGTGTGGGGGGTTTGTTCTCTCCTCATATCTGGGTTTCATCCCACAATGTACGGACATGTAATTAGGCAAATTGGCACACCCGTCTATCCAGGGTGTGGCCCAGTGCTGCCTAGGACAGTCTAAAGATGACACTCACCAGAAAGGTAGTTGGAAAAAGGATGTGATTCGGCATCCAAAATTGTATCATTATTTATTTTATGGTTCTCTCAGCAGTTGGCTGCTCTAACCATTACACCGCTATATGACTCTTCTGTCACTTTTGTTGTGGGATGCAGCAAATGGGGATGGAGTTTTGGTCAACAAATCAATTGGTCTGTCTGCTGTAAAAAGCAGATGCCGAATGAAGGGCCTGGTCTGACAGCAGCTCTGGGAGCCTCGACAGCAGGAGAACAATCTCGACCGCTGACTCTCGCTGTATTTTATAGACTCTGACTGAAATGTCAGCGATGACTGTTACGAAAGGCCAA